CTCTCTCTCTCTCTCTCTCTCTCTCTCTCTCTCTCTCTCTCTCTCTTTGTGTGCGTGATTACTTGAAAACTTGATTGCCGTCTCACTCTTCTCTACTTCCGTTTCCATTGCCTCTTTGCCTTGACCCGTATTTTCTTTTTGGGTTTGTGGGGGGTTGGCGGGTGCTCTTGTGTGATTTGCTTCTTCTTTCTTATCAAACTCTAAAATCTATGGTCCTTATCTCTGCTCATTTTTTGTGTGTTTGTTACTCTCTTGTAACACCTCTAATCTTCTGGCGCTCATATCAGCTTATGCAGTTGCGAGCGCCGTAAAACCTCTACTAAAACTAAAATAAAACATATATCGTCCTTATCTCTGCTCCTTCTTATTTTGTGTTTGTTACTCTCTTGTAACACCTCTAATCTTCGGTACTTATATGACCTTATTGTGTTGCAAGTGCCTTAAATCTCTTACTAAAACTAAGTTTCCTCTACGTGTGATTACTTGAAGTTGAAGACTTGATTGCCATCCCACCCTTCTCTGCTTCCGTTTCTTTGACCCTTTGCCGTGACCCGTATTTTCTGTGTGGGTCTTTCCGTTATGTTATTTACGGAGTTTTACATCGTGTGTTAGTGTGTGTGTGTGTGTGTTTGTGTGTGTGTTTATATTTGTGTGTGTATGTGTGCTTGCGCGCTTTTATCCTCCACATTTTTTTTCTATTTTACAATATCTTTCTGATGTCTTGTATTTTGCCATTTTGTGATTGTAATAATGAACCACACACACATACACACAAGCGCACACGTACGCACGCACACACACACACACACACACACACACACACACACACACACACACACACACACACACACAAACAAACATGCACAAACCCACACATACACACAAACAAACAAACATACACACGTATGCACGCTAAAACATACACATAATATTATCAATCTTCCCATATATATATATCTTTAAAAGCGTCAATGATAAATCACGAGGCGCGTGCCAAAAAGTGTTACCTCATTAGCAAATGGGAGTGGGTTCGGAATAGAGGGAGACGGAGAGGGGAAGAGAGAGAGAGAGAGAG